CATGGCGAGTCCTTTTCTCTACTGAACAAACATCTGTTTTTAAAATAGGAAGCGGTTCATAATGACTGCTGTTACCTCTGACGTGCAGAACTACTGTAAGTAGTTGCTTGCGGCTTTAAATATAGTTCTCTACAGTTAGCGTATAAACACCATATACAAGCTGACAGTATTTCTTCTTTTCTTTTTTAAATTTGAAACGCGAGGTTTTGGATGTTCCTGTCTTTGTTAGGAGACTGTAATGTTATGTGCCTCTGGGACTGACTTACCTGGTGTTAAGATGTACCAATAGCCATTACAGGAAGGCTATTCTAAATTTGACTCTAGTGCCAATGTCTCATGATCTGCATTCATCTCTGACCTGTATCCTTTCACTTACTAATGGAGATTGCATTTGGAATAGTACACTGATCGATTCATGATTTAACAGGGAAAAAAATAAAATGTTCTTGGCTTGAAGTAGCGTACATGACACGTTGTCTCCTCAAGTTAGTTGCACAGAACGTTACGGAGGTATAATAGTTTCTTACAGAATAAGTTACTAAAGTTAATTCTAATTATGGTGAGATTCAGTTGTTCAAAAGAGAATAGTTATAAATGATTAAAAAAACATATTTTGGATATTTTACAGAACTACATTGTACTTGCTGATTCTTGAATGTGAAGGATTTTCTGTGCCTTACTCTTGAAATACTGTGTAAGTACGGAGGACGGAGATAGCTCTTGCCTTTCTTTTAAGTAGAGAAGAGCTAGAATATGGATTCACACTGGCACTCTCAGGTGAGGGACATATTCTTCCCCATTCTGAGGCAGAACACTCATCGAATACTTTCCTTTCTTTGACTGCAGTTAAAATGTTAAATCCCTGATGGCCCTGCTCTTATCCACTCTTTCCTTCATTCCCCTCCCACCCCCAGCTAAGTGGGATTAGAGCTGGAGACATTGCTAACGGCCGCAGTTTGTATTTTTACTTCTGAGCTGACATTGGTGGCTGATACCTTAGTGGGTGTGGTAGGCGTCTGCTCAGTGAACTTGTCCTATGATATCTAGATCAGACCATTATAGGAGGAGGATTGGATTGTGCATTGGCTTTCACAGCATGCAGGACAACAGCATCTGGATGGTGTTGGATTTTAACCCCACACCCCACACATCAGATGGTTAAACCAGACAATTTTTTGTCCACTTGTAGTACTACTGCTTCTGAGCATTTGACCATAAAGTGTCTTGTTCATAATTCCCTTATCACTGATAAAAGCAATCCTTATTTTTTAGATTTCTCAGCACATCCAGGAGGAAGACTGAGAAACCTGTAGGATAGCATGTATAGCACAAAAACTCCAATTAAAATAACAGTTCTCCACATCAAGTAATAATTTGACTTTTGCTTGGCTAGGCTACAGGGCCGCCTTTCTCTCCCCCAAATTAGTGGTCCTGTGATTCCTAAACCTAAAGGACAGGATTTTAGGGTGGCTAATTCTCTGTGTTGCCAGCATTCATATCATTAAGAGTTGCTTAAAATAATTTTGTTTTTAGTTAATTTAGTGCTATGTCCTTGGGATTAGTGTTTTCAAATGTTTTTCTCCAATGCCCTCAGGGCTAGTAATTCATAGCTATAAAAACAGCTTAGATTCACCTTTATTGCTTCAGCACTTGAGGAGTCACAGCGTTACGGTTTGACTGAAATTTGCAAGATTGGCAGTGCTTCCTCTTAGGTGCTATCAGGGCTCTTTCACAGATCATGAATACTTGGGAGCAAAAGCTGCTATATCTTGAGATTTTTGGATGAGTGGATATGTTGTAGACATAAGCACATGCTGAACAGGTATCCCTGTGAAGCTGAAGTACTTTAAAAATCAGTGAATACCTGACAGACAGGAAAAAATGCATATCTCTCTAACTTCTTAAGTCTGCCACTTTGTTTTCTATTTGTTTGTTATTAGGGATCTTTCTTTAAGGTCCATATGGAGGCAGTCAGTTCCCATTCTCTGATTTGACTAGGCAGAACATCAACGTAAGGAACTGCGGCAGCAGATGGTAAAAATTCAAATGGGGCACACCCATAGCATTGCGTTTATGGAGCTCTTAAAGGTCATTCATATATATAGGAGAGAAAATAAGGTAATAAATAAAGTATTAGCACTGCGATACCACGTCATCTGCCGTTTGCTTCAGCATTGGAAATTCTAAGCTTTCTGATGAAAATTTCTAACTTTCATGATTTCTAAGATGGCTTTAATAACGTCAACAAAGATCAAACAATGTCTTCTTAATCTGTGGATGGCTTCAAACAATGAGTGGAAAATAGCAAATCTGTTAGCTGTTTCATCGCTGAGCATCCTCTCAACAAATACCAAGCTAACATGCACATTGTGAAATCCCAGACATCCTTCATCAATATAAATGCCTCTAATGCAGAACTTGTCTGTGATTCTGTGATAACCAGAATAATTCATGCACTTAAGGCCTTCAGCAAGTTCTCCGTAACATTGAGAAACTTTGCAGTGAGTTTGGCTCTCTCCTTTATTTGTCCCTTTGTTCAACACTGTAACTTCCCTACTAGTTCCTTGTACTTTTTTCTTTCCTTCTAGAAGTGTAGTTTCACACTTTGAAAACAGCCCAGATCAGTAACCCTCTCCCTCACCTCCCCTATCCAGTGATACTAGAACAACTGAAAGAGAGGTGCAGGTGTAGGAAAAAACGTAGTTTAGAGTGGGAGGGCAGGAGCTAGAGACGTTGGCACTGCCTTTAAGAAAAGTGCCAGGAACTGCTGTTTCCTAATGCTGTGTTGTTAGGAACAGCAGTAAGCAGACCTGCTGCTGTCCAGCTGTGGCAAACCTGTTTTTCCAGTTGGGCTGTGTGGTACTTTAACAACCACACCTTGTTGTGCTTGCGTGGGACAAGGGCTATTACTATTCCCCACAAAGAACCTTGCTGACAGCCATAAGCTCTAATGGAAATAATACATAAGTATAATGCAAGTGTAAAATCTTCATACTGCGTAATTCGGTCCAGTAGCTAAGCCAATTTTGTGTGCGTGTGTGTGGTGGGTATGCTAGTACTTTTTCTAAAACATAAAGTTTGTCACATGATTGATTTTTTTCTTAACCTGTAGAACTAGGAAGTGGCACGCTCCAAAGGGTTTGTGAATTCACAAAGCAGGAAGTGTACTCACAGACACCGTCTCTCTCGAGTTTCCGCTCTGTAAATCTCCCTAACTCTCAGAATCTTCATTTACAGATTTTAAAAGAAAACTTTGCACCTTTGGCACATGCCACAGATGTTGCTTCAGCAGAAACGTGTTTAATATTGAGTAAATAAAAGTTTAAGAGAATTGAAATGAAATTCATTAAACTCAGTATACCAATTTTAAACCTATGGCATGAGTGGAGAGGATAAATGCTTTTTAATATTCTCAAGTTTCACATTATCAAATTCACCCTTGCTATCATTTCCTTCTAAAACACCATGCCAGCTCTGCAGAGAAGGTGCTGGGAGTCCTGGTGGACAACAAGTTGATCATGAGCCAGCAATGTGGCCATGTGGCCAAGAAGGCCAATGGTATCCTGGGCTGCATTGCCAGCCTGAATATCCTGGAAGAGCATTGCCAGCTGCTGGAGGGAGGTGATCCTTCCCTCTACTCAGCCTTGGTGAGGTCTCACCTGGAGTACTGGGTCCAGTTCTGGGCTCCCCAGTACAAGAGAGACACGGAGTTACTGGAGCGAGCCCAGCGGAGGGCTACTAAGATGGTGAAGGGACTGGAGCACCTCTCCTCTGAAGAAAGGCTGAGAGAGCTGGGCCTGTTCAGTCAGGGGAAGAGAAGACTGAGGGGGGATCTCATCAATGTGTACAAATATCTGGAGGGAGGGTGTCCAGAGGATGGGGCCAGACTCTTCTCCGTGGTGCCCAGCAACAGGACGAGAGGCAACGGGCACAAGCTGAAACAGGAAGTTCCATCTGAACAAAAGGAAGAACTTTTCTACTGTGAGGGTGACGGAGCGCTGGAGCAGGTTGTCCAGAGAGGTTGTGGAGTCTCTGTTCCTTGGGAGATATTCAAAAGCTGTCTGGACACAATCCTGGGCAATACGTTGCAAGTGACGCTGCTTGAGCAGGGGGGTTGGACTAGATGATCACCAGAGCCTCAGCCGTTCTGTGATTTTGTGAACTTTTTATGGTAGTAATCTAGGACTTAGCAAGTCTAGAATCTCTGCTCTACTTCTTTTACTAAAGAAAACTCATGTGCATCTTTACTCAAGCTATTTTGTTGTTAAAACTATATAAACTTGAACTACGTTCTCCTAGCAGTTGGAGAACAAAAAGGCATTTAGTCATTGAATAGGAACCCTAAGACTTTACTAGAGATTGTTCCGCACTGTTCTTACTAACACAGGCTACATCATAATTTGCAAGTCCCATAGGAGTGGATTTATAGAGCAAAACAGTTGGTGCTGCAGCTATGCACGTTTGGGGGAGGGTACTTTGCACAAGCTCTGTTTTGCTTCTGTGGAAGCGAAGTGGAAGTGCTTGTTAGTAGTTAGAGCACGTCTTCTGGTTTACCTTTTCAAAAAGGAATCTAGCTCACGTACGTGATAAGTAAGGATGTTTAAGATTCGCTTCAAAATCCTGAACTAAATTTAAAATGTTAATATAGATGCATGCAGAACTGGCCAAATACTATCCCTTCTCTTCTCTACTTTTCCATCCAACGAACTGATAGGGCAAGAGGCTCTTTTTTTTTTTTTTTTTTTTTTACCCACAGAGCTAGAAATAGCTCAAATATCTTTTCTTTTTGGAGCCTCACATGTAGAAAAAGGCTTTGCTATTCAAAGATCATGAGCACGCTGTCTGTATGATAGATGCTATTTAAGCCTCTTCTGTACAGCATATAGAGAAATTAAATTAGGGGAATTCATGTATAACAACAAATCTGAGACATAAAAACCTCAGCATTGTAGATGAAACTGGCACTACTAACTTGCTCGCTTGTTTTGTTTTCCTCACAGCATCAAGGCTATTGAAAGCCCCAACAAAGATGATGACACACAGTGGCTGACTTACTGGGTTGTGTATGGCATTTTCAGCATAGCAGAATTCTTCTCTGATATCTTTCTATCCTGGTTCCCTTTCTACTACATGCTAAAGGTAGGTTAATTCATTTCCCCCTCCCCTAACACAAGATTTTTGATGTAACTGGTTTAATGTTTTCAGAACAAAAAGATGACAACAGATTTCCCCTGGAATCATTCCTGGGTCACACCTTATTTTTACATGCTGATTACGTGTAATTTGTTATTCCAGCACTGTGAAAGTGATCTGCCTAAGGGTGATGGTTTTGTGGAGGAAGACAGGAAGTTGAGGTGGGTGGCAGGGAAAGAACTGTGGTGTTCTATGAAAGAAGAGCCTATTCAGGTGTACAGTGGAAAGCCAGTATATGAATATGTATGACGTATACTCACATTTAATAGTTTTGAATTCATACAGTGCATTTGTAGATCTTCTTTTCTAATTTCTTGATGGTAAAAAAATGTGTCAAGGATTTCTTCATGCCAGCACAACACCCTTTCTGAAGAGCGTGCAATTGAAATTCAGGCTGACCTAGCAAGTGAAGACCAAACACAGACGGCTCTGATAATACCGTTCCCAGAAGTACCGCGTTTACATCTAGTGATGGCATGAACAGTAAGACACTTTTCTCAGTTCAGCAAAAAGCATAACAACTGAAGGAAGCAATTAAGATAAATGCACAGCTTTCTAAGATAATCACTGAAGGGACATACATGTAAAAGCATTTACGGTCAGTAGTGGGGAGAAGCAGAGATTTACTTTTGTGATATAAAGGCAGGCAGAAGGCTTTGGCTGAGAATCAGAAAGCATTGCTAACTGGCTGGAAGGGTGGGAAGAGCTTGCTTGTAAGGAAAAGGGGAAAGCCCACAGCTTGGCACTTTCAATCTAGCTGTGACTAAAATCTCTTGCAGTGTAGTTTGTGGTGTCTCTAGGTTTCCTTTATGATCTTACGAAACAGAAACTCAGATATGTCATACGTGCTACTTTCCAAGTCTCACATATGCTAAATTTGCATATTGACATTCATTTTGTACAGCTTGTAGGTTGTACACTGGACTGACTGAGTCTTGGCTACTTGCTGTTTCTGTATACCTTGATATGCAGGACTGAGACTGATCTTAGGTGTTCCCATATTTCTGCAATTCAGAGCTTAAGCGCTGCAGCCTCAAAATGCACTAGGAGTTTTTACAGATGGATACAAGGCACGTTGAAGCACTCCTTTGAAAGCATGCGTTACGATGTTGGCATATACTTTTGTTCTACAGCTGAGAACTATTTTGGATTTCCTTGGTGGGTTTTTTTGGTTTTTTTTTAGTAATGCCTGTTTTCTGGTTATCTATCTTCTTTGTTCTCTAAAGCATAGGAAATGTTTACAACTCATGAAAAAAATGATTTTGTATGTAATCTGCTTCTCTCTTTTTCAGTATATCTCTTGATTATTTAATGATTTCTCTGGCATTAATATATTGTAGTCAAAGAAAGTAGCAGAGGTTATTCTAGGAGTATTATTGGGAATGGGAGGGAAAGGAGACTCCAGAGCTTACTCATAGTTCTTTCTTTGAACACTAAAATACTGTTTCAGAACAGAATTCCAGCAGATACTTCATACTGGTTATATTATGCAAAGTGCTACTAAGAGGTACTCAATCAAATGAAGTAGGAGTTTTCATTGTGAGGGAAGTAACACTTCAAATGCGTCAGACTGACATCAGGGCTTTTGACTTCAAGACAGCAGTTGTCTCCTCTCACCCCTGCCCCCTATGCAATTAATTACTGATTTCCACTGAAGAGCTGTTTCACTTTCATGAAAATCAACACCTTATTTTAATGACTAAAGTAGACTTTTGAGTTCACATCTGCAGTCATATAAGACACGCCTTGGGTTTTGGTAGTATTCTACCTGTAGAAGCATGGAACTGATCATGGGATCACACACCGTGTTTCCTAGCTGCAGTCATTTCATCTGTGGTAGTGGAGAAACTAGTTGAACTGTTTTACGCTGCCAGGGCCAGAACAAGTATTAGCACCGGATCCAAGTGTTTTAAATCTAGGTCAGGTAACTGCATAATGGAAGTAACTCCATTCCATGAACACCATTCCCTCCTGTGGCTGTACTGCAGGCACCAAAAGAGTGTAATAACTTTTTTCCCCCTAGTTACTCTTTTCACGGTCTGAGCTATGTCAGTCTCTTTTAGACCATATTAGGTTTAATGGTCTATGTAACACAAAATTTCACAAAAGACTAGGGAAGAATAAACTAGACTTAACAGTCTGACACTGTCAAGATTTGAAAAGACCGAGACCTGCAACTTTGGTACATATCCTCTGGAAAATATATTTAATCATCTGTTTCAGTAAATTTCAGAAGTAATAGGTATTTGAGAACAAACCTGTAACTGGAAAAGATTTAATTTTTCCTTGACTAGATTGGGACAAGACTGTAAATTCAAAATGACTAATTCTTTTCCTAGGCAAGAAATCAAAGTTTCCTTTACTTTTAGTTTCAGAGGAAGTTGGACTTACAGCTCAGGGACTTCCTAAAACAAAGGAGAGCTAAGTAACATCTGTGTGTAGTGGGACAAGTAAGATAATTGTTAGTGGCTAGCCGGTTATTCTTTGCAGGAAATAAATTCAATATACTTCTCAGCTTTTAATGAAAGATAACAGGACAATATATTATCATTTATATTTTAGGCTATATTACATCTCAAATAAACAGAAGCTTTTGAAAATAAGTATTCCATCACTTCTTGCTTTTATTTTCTCTGAACACACTTAGTAGCAATTGCTACTAATGCCATATTTTATTGCACGTTGAATTATTTCTTTTAATTGACTGAAATGCCCCTGCTAGGCATTCTCATTGGTAAGCACTTTACTTTGAAAAACTTTACTTTAAAAAAAACCTTTTTTCCTCTTCTGGAAAAACATCTCCCTTTAAGCTATTCTGATAGCTACAACGCATACCTGAAAGAAAAAAAGCTTAAAGCTTCCCTAAAAGGATGTTAAATTGGTTTAGCAAAATCTTCCATAGAATGCAGTTGTTCTCCCCAGGAAACAGCTGTACTTTTTGAAGACATGTCCTATCAAGATACCTCTCCAGCTCCAAATACATCATAAATGGTTTTATCTAGGGGAAGGAGAAGTGGCCTTTTAAACAAAAAAAAAAAAAAGGCGAGTAGCACTCTCCTCCAGAAGTAGTAGATTAAAGATCTTTACTTCAACAGATGAGCATAATAGAGAGAAATTTTATCTTGGTGTTCGTTGCAGTGAAAACTATGCCAACATGTCACGTCTGAACAGCAAAACGTGTAGGATTTTTAATCTCAATATCCCTTCCTTATCTGAGGAAGAATAGAGGGAAGATAATCCAAAATATTTGGAAGGTTTATCTGAAGACTGCGTGATTTTCATAATTCAAAAGAGGTTTTAATCTTTTTTTGTTGTTAAAGTCATACCAGAACCTTCCTTTTAAGATAACCTCTATTGACTTAGTCACCTTTTAATGGTCAGCCTGTTGTTAGGAGTTTCTTATGTGACACCAAAGTAATATTTGGGTGTGGCTTTGTCTTTGCAGTTTTCCAGTGGGAAATCAAAAGTGTGAGGGGAAGGAAAAGAGACAGAAATGTCTAGCTAGGCACAGTGGATTTTTGAAAGGATACTGTAATCAAATTAGTTTCTAGGAAATGCTTTTATGTTATACAGTATACTGGAAATCTCATCAATAAGTAAAAAGCTTTGCTTATGTTTTAAAAATTACTTTCTCTCAGAAGCTCTGCTGCATGCATTGAAACATGCCTTCGCTGTCTCTTCAGCCACTGGAGATACTGCTATGTGAAGATATGTATACTGGAAAACTTTTGAAATTTAAACTATTAAAAGAAATGCTGTTTGTCAACACTATTGAAGGGCGCCATTATCACTTTCATTTAAATACAGAATTTTAGGTTGCTTACAGTTGTACTGTAGTTTAAATGATTTAGTTTCATGCTTTCCATTTTTGGTGTCTACTGTATGTATTTGGGTTTGGTGTTTTTGAGGAGGAAAAGTTCAGGCTGGGTGGGTTTTTTTCCCTCCCTCTCTCTCTCTCCCCTCACAAAAAGCTGTGGAAATCCTCAAATGGTTAATCATGTCTAAAGCAAAAGAAAGCATATTTTGCTTGAGGTTGTGGTGTTTTTGATTTGTCTTTTCAGAAATCTCAGGTAGTCTTCTCTGAGAAATTGTTCTGGCTTTAGACTGTGGAGAGGGTCACGACACCTGATAATGGTGTACGCTTTGTGTCTAGAAGGAACTATACCATTGTCGAGAAAATCTGCCTAATTTGGTTGAGGTTTTATCATTGAAAAATGTTTTTGTAGAAACTTACAGAACAGAAGCAGATTTACTTGTGGGACTTCCTGCTCTTTGAATATTTTAATCTTGTTTGCATATCTGTCTTTGTATTTTATTGAACAGTGAGACTGAAGCCACATAAAAGGTGCTCCAGTGAAGACCGATATTTATAATACACTAGCAGCTATCTTTTCAGCCCCCCTTTTAAGATACAAAAATAGTACTGTACTCTCTCTCCCCTTTCCCCCCCAAAAGCAGAATGTGGTATAAAAGCTATATAGCTAAACTGTGCAATCTGAAAGTGTTTCCCATGTCTGCGCTCTATGCATAGCTTGCCTCTATCCTGTCTTCATGTCAGTTTTAACATTGGGGTGCACATCATCCCGTTCTTCCCTGTTGCATTTTCAAGGTAAGGAAGTGGAAAGGACAAGAATATGTTCTGGCTGGATTTAAGTGACTGAGGGATCTAGACCTTCAGTCATGCCTAGCTAGGGAGACTAATGTTTTGTCTAATTAGCTTTTATACTACTAAACTAAACAAAAACAAAAACATGCAATGGTCTTCTTTTTTTTTTTTTTACAGATTAGCTTTTTCACTAGAGGCTTCCTCCTTTATCCTATGAGTATGCATGAAATTATTCCAATATAAGGTTCATTACATGAAACAATACTGATACACATTGTTATTAGGCTGTGACCATGCAAAATGAAGGTCATGTACTGCTTTAAATATACTCAAGTCTGTGACAGAGTTAAGAAGACAGGCTACACCTTCTGTCTCCTACCTCCTTTCCTGTACTAATGCAGATGTCCTTGTTCCATGTAGTGTGGCTTCTTGTTGTGGTGCATGGCTCCAAGTCCTTCTAACGGGGCAGAGTTTCTCTATCATCGAATTATCCGCCCTTTCTTCCTGAAGCACGAAGCTCAGCTGGACAGTGTTGTTAAAGACCTGAAAGACAAGGCTGCAGAAACTGCAGATACCATCACTAAAGAAGGTGAGGAAAAGACCATTCACTAATCACATCAATTAGAAAGAGTTCACCTTTGCTACTCTAATGTTAAAGTTCGTATTTATCATCTCTGGAAAATATTTTGTAAAAAGATTATATCAACTTTAACGGTGAGGTCAGATTTGGATGAAATTACCAAGTAAAGAAAGAGGATTGCAGGCAATTTTAACTTCTAGGAATACAGGTATGCTTGCTGAGAGCGAGCAAGCTATGGCTTGTATGAAATAATAGCTAATTAGCTCATGTGTCTTTCCAACATACATCCATAGAAATACTTTCTCTGTAGAGAGACAGATCAGCACATCCTCACAAGACGCCTTCTGCAAATACAATCATTATTTCAGTGCATTCTTGCATCTCCTAAAATACCATCTCAAATACCTGGTGCTACGGCGGAACGTCTAGTAAAAATCCTTGAACTCCAACAAACAGCAACATGTAAAATTAAGTTTTCTTGTCTATATAAGTATTTGAACTTTTCTCTCTTCTGAGCAAATTTTGAAATAACTTAATTTTTTTTAGAATGGCCTCCTAATTGTGTCACAGCCTGAAGCTTGTTTAATTTTTACTTTTATTTCTCTGCATTTTAAACTGAACCCTTATACTCCAAAATGTCTGATGATAATTTTATGAGTAAGAAAAAGAATTGTATTAAGTAACTGACGTAAAAGTTTATTTAAATTTAATTTGAAAAATTTTGAGACGATACTTCAAAGCACATTAAGTCTCCTTGCTCTTGAACACCACATGCAGTCTGATTTCCTCTTACCTAACTTGCCATTTTTCCTATCAGTATTTCAATGATCTGCCTTTCTTTGTCATTCTTGGAATTTTTGCTGCATGACCCTTACTGAGTCATACTGGTAGGGAGAGATCTTAATGTTCTTCCACCTTGCACATGGGATTTCTCTGTCTTCTTTTCATCACGTACTCCTCTTTCCTATTTTTAGATAAAAAGATTTGCACATATGTGTATTATTTTTTTTAAGAACTTGTATCCACACACACACACACACACCTGTGTTAGCATTATTCCAGCAATATTTCTTCAGCTTGGTAGTAATTTCTTGCTGTGAATCTGGATGTCCTAGACACCGAGTAGCCCTATTTTCTCCCTAAAATAGAAGTCAGTCAGTCTGTGCTGTTTATTGTGCAGCTCCTTATGTATGGTTTCGATTCACTGCACAATTTATTTTTGAAAAGCCTTATATTATCAGTATCATCATAATATATATATATATATGCACATATGCACACACACACTAAAACTATGATGTTTCTTTTGTAACTTGAAAGGAAGATAACATTTTTATGCAGCTCGAGAACACCGAATAGGCCACTAAAATTAAACTTTTTTTCTCCTGCAGCCAAGAAAGCAACAGTGAACTTGCTGGGTGAAGAGAAGAAGAGCACTTAAACTATTAACTGGATAAAGAATGTTTCCCTACCACCTCCTTGATAAAGCTTGATGCTGCTGGGGACTGTGGTATAATTTTAATAATGTTGCCTTGGAAACATTTTGATATTAAAGGAATGTGTTGTACGTTTGCTTACTATTTTGCTCTTGTCTGTATAGAAAGTAAGCACTTTTATTTAAAAGCAATGCAGTGGGCAGCATCGGAAGCTTATTGAAAATATTTTATTCATCTTCATGCAGAAGAAATCTTTCAGTAATCACCTTCTGCAATAACATAAATAAAAAGTATATATCCCACAGGCTCTGCACTTTAGTTGTCTCTTTGTGCATGTAATTACTCTTAACACTTTAACTCTGGTGTGTCTGGTGACATAAAATTTTTGTATGAGGAAACTATAGCCTGAAAGGATTCTCTTGAATATGCAGGGAATTATTGAGAGGTGGCATAATGGATATATTCCCCACTAATGAAGTTGTAAATGATGAAACTGTTGTTCTAGCCACCTGATGATAGAGATTATTCAATGTTGCATGTTTCATTGTAACTTACAGTTATTGGTACAGTGTGTGTATTCTTAAATGGATAGATACTAAATATGGGAAAGAGCAACTTCATTCAAGTGATCCAGCTTACATTAGCGTGAAGTAATTTGCCAGAAATGGATGCATTACCTTGAGAGCACAGCATTACTAAAGTACAACTCTCTGCCTTTTCTTGCTAAAAGTTGTCATCTAAAATTGAAAACAGAGTGCCTTGTAAGATCACACTCAAAAGCACAAACCACCTTTCACTAGGGAGTGATGCTATTACAAGCCTTTTTTTTTTTTCCTAAAGCCCTGTTGAAATAGTTAGTGCCCTGGGTGTCAGTCCCCAGAACTACATCACTAATTATCACCACAACCTCTGTGAGCGTTTTCTGCTCATAACAAATCTGCAGTCTGTTCTGATTGTACTAAGAACAATGCTGCATGAGCACTGAGCAGTCTTAAGGAACAGGGATGGTGGTGTTGAGATTACTTGATCTATTCCTGACCAATCAGTGCGAATGCAACCAAAGTTGTTACAAGAAGAATATAGTCTGTTTTGCAGTTCATGGAATAGAATAGAACTTACTTACAGAACATGAAGAAGTTGTTAAGCTTAAACTTTTGCTATGTTAAGCGATTTCTAGGTCCACCATCCTAAATTGATTAGGCTGTAATCTTAAGATAAGGCACTGAAGGCTTCTGGCATTCCACAAGTTGATGATATTATAAACATTCCCTCTAAATTTTCAGAGACTAGAACTGTAAAAGATTGAAGCGTGCACTATTATTTAGTAGATCACTTTTGAATTTGAGCGATACCTATTATAAGAACAGATGTAACAGTGTCTTAAGAGTAAGCTTTTTAGCCTTTAAGCTGGAAAACACAGCACTGACTCTGTAAGACAGCACTTACAGCTGTCAAAGAACAACTACAATGGGGAAGCATGAGATCCACCATGCATCGTTTTTTGTCCTACAGCATACACGGTTTGTTATTTGAAGGAAGAACACGGACTACTGCAGTATGTAAATGAAAACATTTGGCTGATTATTCAGTGACGGCTTTTTGTAACGAATGGATCTACTGCAAAGAATAAAGTTTACAGCAAAGTTGTAGATGTGAGCAAGTAGAAAATTCTAACAGCGACTCACAATTTAAGTAACCTCATTTCTTGTCCTAGCTTCCTCTGTCTTTAACCCACTGAACTTGGCAATCCATCCTAAATCCTCATGTTGTATTTTAAAGTTATATGCATAGCAGTCATATGTGGTCAGTTTAATTTTGTTTCACCTCATAAAATAAATTATGTTAAATAATGATACTTACATTCAATACTGTATTTGATTTAGGTTCAGAGTACTACAAAAACTGCTTTTCTAAAAGCTGTTGGTAAGTCTGAGACTTTCCAAGACTATCCAGGTCTGCAGCAGAGACAAAACTTAATTCTCAGACAAATCATCATTTCTTTAAAATACTACCATTATCAATGAGATAAAACACTTCTTTCAGTTAAGTGTTAAGGGTGACCATTCCTTTACGTTTCTCAAAGAACTTACCAGTTGGGCTTTCGATCAACTTCCTATATTTACAACCCAGTATTTCTTGATCCAACAGCTAAATTTGTGCTCCTTATCAGATTTCTACTTGAAAGTAGAGCTACCACCTGTTTGAAAGTTGTTAATATAACTTGATCTTGTTGTTTGCATTGTTGCAAACAGAAATGACCATCTGGAGCATTCGTGGGCTTTCACAGTGATTTAATTCTGAGAGCTAAACGTATCGTGTCCTCAAAGAAAGGGTGATTCTTTTCGGACTGAGAAACTTCCTGGGAAGACTTTAGTTAAAAGTAAAGATTCAGGACTAACTTTGCTGTCTAAAGAAAAACAGTATTTTCTGCAGGAAGTTACCTTTTCCTGCAAGTAACTCCACTGGGCTGGCCCCTCGTATCAGTGCTCTTCTCAAAGTTGTCTTCACAACATTTATAGGACAATGTTAATATACACTTCTAATCAATGTCTGTGCTGAAGTTGTAACATGCTAAATAAAAATGGATACAAATAAAGAGATTCTTACAGGACTGGTATAACGCTTCAGTATTTCTTAAGAACCTTATACCTCAACACAGAGAAACCGAATCAGTTTAAAAAGGCAGAATGTCTTTACAGGATGTTCACTTCTCTACCCAAACTTCATTACCATGGAACTAGTAGGAACTTCTCTAAAAGCATGATGGAAGTACTTCTTTTGCTTTATGACTAGATCTCATGGTGCAATGTAGCTGTTTTAGAGCGCTGGACCTTAACAGAACAGTTTTGAATACAGATCTGAACAGTGAGCACCACGACAGACTGCCGACACAGCACAGTTTTCAAGACTTCATAGCTTTGCTTTCCTGAGGAATTATCAAGGGCTAGGTCCTGGGAATGCAGGATCCTATAGAAATGTATACAGGAAACACTATAAACTACAGGGATTTCAGACTGTTTTTTCCTCTCCCATTGATTTTCTAGTCTTCCATAAGTGATATAGATATATAATACGGCATAGTTACTGGCAGGTAGGAGTGTTCACACTTACAGTTCTTTCTGCTTGAAGTGTAAGTAGGACGTTTATTCCATACATTTCCAAACTCAGCAAGCAGAACAAAAGAAGTTCTTAGAGAAAAGCAATAAAAACCCCACAATGATACAAACACCGCTAATGATACTAAAATAAAACTGAATTTACTAAAACAAAGCAAGATAGTTAGCAAAGAATATACCTTCTTGTAAGTAGTGGAAGACATGACTAATATTTGCCAGGTCAAAACCTCTCAATGTTTTTAATTTGACAAAGTTAAAGTGCCTTGAGTTTGTGTTCCAGTCTTGTCAAGTTTGTACAATCAATTATACTTTGTACAAATATTCTGAGAATCGATGTAAACATATTGACTAATTCCTTAATCCTCTCCTCCAAAACTTTCAAACTCAACCAACCATAACTGCCCTATGCAAAAAAGGAAGAACAGGGTTTAAAACAATAAATGACAAATTCTTGCAGGTCATGATACTACACAGAATTATGTTAAATAGTATATTTAGGCTCAGCAATCATTTGACTACAGGCAAAGGATAATAATTTTGAATAAGCTGCCACTACTGATAAGAATATAATAAATACATTCTGTCCTGCAGCAAATCTTAAAGAGAAAATTATGTTCATAAGATTTAGTGATTATTCAGAGACATAAGTATTTCCTGTACACTGCATGTTCTGCAAGCATGCAAACAGAGTACTGAATCTCAGTCTTGTATTTCCAGAGAAATTCTACATCCAGTGCGATGGTATGAAGCAGTACTTCAGCATTAACCACCTGGAAACCATTAAGGGAATCCTCTGTTGTACAACCACACCGACACAGCCTTGTGAAGAACAGATCTCTTTGTGGTCCATAAAATAGTAAGAAGTGCCTGAGCAAGAAACGTGGTGGGTGACTGTCAACTCATGAAATAATAAAGTAAAAATAACTGAAGATGAACTTTGAATTTAGCAACCTGTTGGAAGGATGCATTTGCTGTAGGCAATGGAATTCCACAAAACAAAACCACCTTATGTGCCTACCATTTTCTATTACTGCATCCTTGCAAGAGAATACTGAAAGCCTACAGACTTAAATTAGACTTTTCAAATTCTGCTATCTGGAAAAAAAAAACCTTGACAGAGACAACGAGAAACACATGCTGTTTCATAAGAAGCAGAACTCGACCGCATTCCACTCAGTTCCTACCTAGAGTTTCCTCCGCTCACTCCTACGTCCCATGCTACCGATTATTTTCATTTCCTTCCCATCTCCCTTATGCCTACCACCACAATGTAGTCGGTATCTTTTCAGGGCCTTGACAAAAGACAGCTAATTTGGTAGTTATTTCGCCAGTTCTAATCCGTACCTAATCTGAAGCTACATATATGCTGACTGGACAGCCAATACACTAAATGCAGTTTGGCCAAAGCAAACTGCCAACCAGGAAGAACACGTGCTCATTCTCCTTGCCTTTTTTTGTTCCATCCAGAACACAGAAAGTTCCTTCACTGGATGCGTTAACAGAGTCTCATCTCTCAACTCGGCCACTGCACTTCATGACTTATGGGAACTCACTGTCTCTGAGAACTCTAGTCATTGCATCATTTCAACCAAATCTATCAACAGACTCAAAAGTTATAAAGGGACAGATGAAGTCAGCGTTTGTATTAAGCCTCGCTTCTTGAAAACAGGCAAAAAAGCCCTCTCTAGAAACCTATACCAAGACATAAAATAACCTAACAAAAGCCAGTCTGTAACTGGAGGAATTACATTAAGACATAGCTAAATCTGCAGCTACAGAGAGAAAGAGAACAAAACAAGTGAGCCACTCCACCTTTCATGCTCTCGGTACAGCACGCACAAACACCACAGACAGATAAACATATGCTGTCCCAAAAGAAAGTGTTGGCTAAACGGCTCCAATCATTCAGCTACAGGCACCATGAACAGAATATACATACAGAGATGTTTAAGAACAGCTATTTTCCCAAACCCTGGTCTTTATGCAATCTACCTCATGGCTGAAGGTGAAAAATCACATACGGTTATACGTTATTATCACTTCCCAAAGTAAGATACATTTCCACATACAATTTGAAACTCATGGTCTTTACATCCAGAATTGAATGATGGTGGTTGCGATTCTGCTACAGCAGACTTGCAGCTACAGCTACTTGCTCCCTTCCGTATATCTGAAAGAACCACCTACCTTACAACAGTGCTAAATGTTCATTTCTACAGTTATTCCTTTCAATGTTGTTTGCCTGCATGTTCAAATCTGCTACGTAATGCCTATTGTCAGTTTTCCTATCTGCTGCTGCCACAGAAATTGTTACAGGGAGGCTGATTTTTGAGCTCACATGCCTGTTTCAAAAGTTTAATCTTTGTCTAGGTACTGAAATACCAACACAGGAACATAACAAGTATGTATATTTAAATATCTACACTAGTATCTTTGAGACAGATATCAGCTTTAATATCCATATTCCTCATCTCAGAGATACAGAGTCAATTCCCACCCAGCAATGCATGTCCTTAATATTGCCACCCACAGGAAACCATAGTTATCCTTAGTGCTATTTTAATAATTCTACTCTTCTAGGCAAATTCTCACAGAAGAGAGTAAAAGCTAGACAGACTAACTAACAAGACTGCCAGGTACCAAACACCTTAAAGAGATGTCCATTACCAGCCAATTTCTGAAAAAAAAAAATGGTTTTCTATCGACAGCATTGAGATCGAGAATTCTAGTGTTTTTGCAGCACCCTTCTCCCTACCTCCATTTCTGCCAGTCCCCAAATGGACTACGTACAATGCAGAACTGTCCCATTTTTCCAAAACTAAAAGTAAAATGCCAGAAGACACTTTCCTTGCAACACTTGAAATGGCCTGAAGACACCAGTATGTTCACAACTGTAATTCCATAGATATCAGGGTCCTGAACAAACTGATCCATCTTTCTAAACAAAGAAAAAAAAAAAAGACTTGAGAAACACATTCAAGTCCTGAGAAATCCTGTAGGACTTAACATTTTTTTTTAAAACGAGTTACTAACAATAAAAAGAGGGAACAAAATTTCGCCAAATACAGCTTAGATTAGCTTTATCTATGTCAATTACATTATATTTTATGATATTGTATTCAAATTTTTAAAGGAACATGAGAAAGCTGAAGCGTACAAGTAAGACTTCTATTTCACCAATCAGACTATAACAATCTTTTCTCGTTCCTGTTCTCTCTTTTCTTAGGGGGGTGGCAGGGGAGGGAAAAGAGAGAAGGAAGCAGAACCGACAGGCCTGCATAATAATCTGACCTAATATCATAACCCACTTGTTTTTAATCATCTAATTAACTCAGTTCGTCAAAAAAAAAAAAAAGTAAAAAAATAAAATAAAATAAAATAAGAAATCCAGAAATGAAATAATGGTTTGTAAGCTTAGCCAAGGCAGGAAAAGGGAAGTTGCGGTTAATTTTCTGATCCGTCATTTATAGGACCTGTACTGCTCACATAAGAGTACTTCCTGAAGCAAACTAGAAAGCAAAATGATAAGCTCATATAAGGGTAGGGGAAACGGCAACAAAACCCCACAGACTTTAGATCCTTAATGGTAGTAATTATTTGATTTCCTAGTAGAGTGTAACTTGTTTCAAAAAATTAAAAAAAAAAAGCTTTACACAAAATACCCTGACAGCGTTCTTTGTTCATTTGATTAAACCACAGTTTAAGAAATTTGGTGTTAATATTACTCTTTGCAGAAATGTCTCCCAGCTTCTTCATAAGGTCCTTATTTTTAAAATAACTCAACTAGTTCTGTTTCTTTAATTGGGTAAGTTAGTAAGCAACGCAACTAAGATCCTTTCTTAATCCACACAGCATAGCGCAGACAAATTCTTTGGATGTTCAACTTACGGCCACTGTAAGCAGATATCCAGTATGATTTAACCTTCATATTTTTCAAATGTCAATGGCCTAAAGCTGTGACTTGCAATACTCATGCATAACTATCATAACTTCATAAGAATCTATTTACCTCCATTTAACATCATGGAATTGAGATATTCTCTTTTATGAAGTAATTTTCACAGAGCTCCCTGAAAAATAAAGTTTCAGAGAAGGTACTCAACTAGCAGGAGGAGCCAGGAATAATTTAAACCCCCAAATCTGTGAAGAATTACGGTCCATTTATATATTGACTATACTTTCAAGACTTGCTTGAATACATTACTTACTACGTGTTCCCAAGTTGCAACTAACCTTTAACACTTTCTTAATTGCGTAGAGCGTAAGTAGCTAAGTAACAGTCTCTAGCAACCTCCACTTGTCTTCTAACATGCCTACTCTTCCTATCGCATAGCATCCTAGCAACTCATGGAAAAAGGCCAGTGAACTAGCTTCTCAGAATTTAGGTGCGTTTTCCAGGAGAGATCCTCCAAAGTTGGTATGTGTAAACTGTTAATTCTGCAGAAACAACTAATCTTTATATTCTATCATGCTAGATCAAAAGATGTCTTCCAGCAAGTCATTCTATTACACATGGCCTATATTTTTTTACTCCTTCACTGTCATGGGGTTTGGTCTGAGGAACTTTTTTGTAACAGCTTTCGGATTTTGTACAACTGTAGTGAGAATGAGAACACAGCATACTTCATTAAATGCAATACAAGAATCACTCTTACTGAACATTACAGACAGAAAATACAAACAACTTTGAACTGTTCACAACTAGAGGGCTCTATGTAGTTGCACTATCAGCACCTATCTATCAATCAACTTCAAGGGGCACCAGTAGCTTACTAAGCTACTAAAAAAAAAAAAAAGGGGCAGTTCAGTAGAACAAGAAATAAAAGTATTAGAAGAAAACCCAAACTACAAGCACTAGCAATCTGAGCAAGGATACCAAGCACAACCCTTTGTCAAGTTTCATTACTTTAGTAAACTCTGACTATTCTAGAAATGACAATTCTAAAAATAGTCATTAAATGTCTAGATGGATTTCGGATGCTGCTCATCTTTAAAATAGGGGGAGAAAAAAGGTGACACCATAGGATAGCATACCTGATAGATAAAGATGAGACAAACCCCAAGAGAGAGAGTATCTCCACATGGAGAACTTACCAAAATAGTCTGGTTAACTTTCCTCTAGTACTCATTTATGAAAGCATCCAGCTCATTTTGTTTTCATACAGTAAGGACTAGAAAAACTCATGCAGGAAATTCTTAACTGATAACTGGTACTGCTGTTTCCTTTTCTGTCTCCTTATACTAAACCATTCCTCACTTCACTTACACAGTGTATTTCTTGAGTTCTTCTAAGGTTCCTTGTTGCTGACAGCTGTTCTGACCACCTCAACTTCTCCAATGACTGACTTTTTGCCCCTGTCCATGGGCTACACGTCTATAAAATATAACATTTTATTTTACGTTAGCAGATATTGTGAGCCTCAGACGTTTGAAACAATATTTGAGAGATTAAAGGTAGAAAGTACATTTCATAAGCTCTCAAAACCAACCTGAAATATATGATATGGTATCTTACATTACAAAAGACACAAAGGAACAGCTATTTTGTTCAACTAACTTAAAATGTTAAAATATTATCCCTACAGTAAGTCACATACATCTTTTAAGTACGTTCTGGAGGGGAAAAAAACAAAAACAAAACAACAAAAGAAATGCTCTTCACAAAAGTGTTTATATAATTAGATTTTTCAAAATTAACTTGTTGCCTTTATTAGTACACTTGACAGTTGTGAAAGATAATTAGCAAGGAAAGTTTACAGAATCAATTTCACTCATTTACATTTTTCTTTTAGCAACACAGACCATTCAGAATTAAAATAGTCACTTAACTAGCATAGAGAAATGGTGTACTAAGGCAATCAGTTTTCCGGTATCTAGTCTGCATAAGTTTGTTTGTTTGTTTTTAAAAAAAGCTGAATAACACTGCGTAGTTCTTCTGGAAAGAGTAATTCTCCCAGCCACCCCATTTGCTTATGTTCTTTCACCTTCAGAACTGCATGTTAGCTTTTGACTTGCAGGCTGTATGTAGATAGATTTGCTGTGACACAGAGATGAGGCAGTTACATGCATTCCAGTGCCGGAAAAAGCAGGCAGTTCTATTCAGCTTCACCTGTGGGGTTTTTTGTTTTTTTTTTTTTCTTCCTCCTTCCCTCCGGTATCTTTCACTTCAAAGTTGCAATCAGTAACGTGTCCATCCATATCTGTAGTAAGCACAGCTATGTAAAGTAACAGTTATTCCAGATGTAGGCTCATTTCTTTTTCTTCCCTTTGCCTTTTTTGCCTCCTTCTCCTTGCTGGAGACTTTGCTCGCTACCTCCCATTTTTTGTGTTCTTGTCTTCAGTTTGGGAATGGTTTCTGCAGCATACAGCATCACTGATTTACCTAAAAATAAAGAGAGAGAAAGAGAGAGAGAGAGAGAGAGAGAGAAAGAACTCACAAAGTTAAGAACATTCACAGCGTTTTGAAAGTTAGAATCTTCAGCCCCGGCTCAGTTTTTTGTTAAAACAGATACAAAATGCAGAGTTGTTCTTACTTTCCCCATGTAGCTGGAAGTTTGTGCAAAGCTTTAATCAGATTTTTAAGCCCAGGACTAATGAAGTGTCACAGCTCATTAGAGCCTTGTCATTATTTACACCAGATTATGATCTCTCTTGCATAGCCATCAAGACTGAAGTATCCCCTCTTGGATTACCTGTATCAGAGCGGCACATGACCTGACAGTCTCCAAAGCATCGACACCCTTCCTACGACTCTCTCCCCCCTCACTTTCCAATGGCCAAAAATTGTTGGCACAGAATAACCAGGCAACAAGTGCAAGCATCTTTAGAAAGACACTAGCTCATCTTGCATGGGCAAGTAATTTATGGAACTTTCAGGGACCCTCCCACTTTATTTTTAATTTATGTAAACGGTGAAGAGAAAATAAATACACACTCAATATTGTGTTTTATCAGTTTGCCATCTGTACCAATGCTTAACTGATGCATATAACCTACGAAAAAGGTGGAATTTAGCCATTTTAATACAAACTCCTGTTTTGAAAAATGATCCTCCACAAAACAACAAATCAAAACTGAACTGTTGTTTTGTTCAATACAGCACTCTTGCAACTTTCCTCCAAATCCTTTTCAGTTCAAGCCCTGAAAAAAGGCAAGATCAAAGACAACAGCACTTTACAAACTCCACTCACTTGCTTTATTTGGTTGACTTTAAAAGGTGAATTTATTTGATGTTAAGTTCTAAAATTTGTATTAGTAAAAACCATTAAACAAGCTGATAATATAAGACAAACAAAGCCTTCCTGTTTGTTAGTAACAGTTAAAGCATCTAACCCAGATGCTCTACTCACGTGTTGGAAACTGAGGTAAACACGGGTTGCCATCTTCTTGTTTGAGTTGAATTCGTACTCTACCCCTGTACTGCACATCACGGTTCCACTCTCTAGGATACATCTTATTTTTCTGTCATATGAAAGGATAAACTTATTTTACTAGGAATATGAAGTACGGGAATGATTTTCTGTGCAAGCTATCCAAATCACAGCAGCCTGCATGGAATTCTTTTGAGCAGGTCAAACCCAGAGCCACAACTCTGCAGTATCATCCATCAGTTAGCCAGTGCAATAACACCCAAAGTCATAGTTTAACTTTTCCAGAAGCACTGCTGCAACCGGTTCATTGAATAACTTGCTACAGGGTCCACTGTACTACTCCATCAGTCTGGATCACAGCGACACGCGTTTTGTTTCCTCTCCATGGCCATGAACCCTTCTGGAACATCTTGGGACAATACATGAATGGGTCAGACGTCGAGGCCCGCTGACTTCAGATAACTCATATCTTTTATTTTCGTTAAAATAACATTACAGGCTTCTTCCTTGTACTGGCTATTTTACAGGCTAGTGTGCAATAACAGGAATATATTAGTCGTCTTGTGAAAAGCCAAGTGATTTTGTACAGACCTTGGATGCCAGTCATTAAACTCTTTGATGAAGATCTAATTTCTTTAACAAAATGCAATAGATGATTAATTCTAAAAAGAATAAATGGCGAAAAAAGTTCCCTTTTAGAAACTCAAGCTCATTCCCTATGGGGAAAAAAAAAAGGTGAACAAGTTAAACTATCTAAAGACCACGGGAGTACTGAGATGATTACTACGGTACTGAAAACTAAAATTCTTTGGCTAAACCATGACTTCCACAAAGGTTTCAAAGGACCCTGAAGATTTCATACAGCAGAATCCTATTCCTATAGGACATTATTTCCAAAAATTAATCATCTTTCATTAGAAGTGAGCTACTTTTTAATATTTAATTTGTATAGCTCCAGGTTGCAAAATGAGTTTTTATTCTGGCCCTTTTCCATTAGAAACTTTCAAGCATCTAGTATAGTCTTCTCAGAAGGATATATATACCTACACACTTATAAAATATATACATATATTTTACAGATAGCTTTTTTATAAGGTAAAAACATCATTATCTCCGAGATATGTGATTCTTGCCTTGCATATAGTTTTCCAATATCTGCTTAAGCATGATGTTCAGTTATTGCTCAAAGAAAAGAAGCATCTTGGCTGACAACCAAAGTTTTTCCATTACAATTTGTCCTCGCTTGTAAGAAAAGACATAACGAAAGAAAACCTAAGACCCATACCAAGTTATTTTTATTACCTCTACAAGCACGTTGAATCCAACTGCTGCACACACATCTTGGATTTCTGTAGATGTTGGATTTTCAACAGCCTATTGAAACAACATGTTACAGTTATTTTTAATTGATGAATTACCTAAACAGGGACCCGTTAGGCCCCTCGGCAACTGCTGCCGCCGCTACCCCAGCGCCCTGCGCTGGCGTGGCCGCTCACCCCCGGCTGCCGCCCCAGCGCCCCCCCCACCCTCAGCCCGCTTCAACCAAACGGGTTAGAGGTTTCCTACCCTACACTTTGCAACTAGAAAAATACCGTGAGGGAGGGAGGGAGAGGATCACGACTACTTCCGGATACACTAAAAGCAACAACTACTAAATCTATGTACCATGTGCATAGGGACAAAGCACAGAATACGGGTGACATTAAGACAAGTTAGATCACCAGTCACACAGACTTTAGCCTACTACTGCTGTCTGCATCACTTCTAAATTCAGCAAGTTCTGCCGTAGATTATCAAGCATATTAGTTTTCAGTATTTCATCTTCCTGCCAAAGGGGCTGCTCATGTGAAAGCAGAGACTTAAACCCAGCGCTCTTCTAACAAGTCCACATGCTGACAGTAAGTTATCTTCAAATACATTGTAACTTCCAGTTCTCAGCCTATTTGCTGAGAAGGACAGGGAAGATAACAGCTTTGTCTGAGACTTGGTTTTATTTTCCAACTCCCTATGTACTACCACAAAGCAAAACATTGTATTTCTCCCACAAATTACTTTGTCTATAGGTATCCTTCTTCCTTCTGCTATTGTCTTCTTGTTATTTAAATAAGCTGGATAAATGCAGATGAATCTAGAAGACAAAACATTGCAAGATTAAGTAAGTAATATCAGCTCCTTAAATTGTTTGCGCGACGGTAAAATGAAAATAAGAAAGTCCATTTCTATAACACACGAGTTCCCCACAGCAGTTTAGAACAGCCACTTATTTTTCCTTGGCTAACTAGCAAGACATTGCAAAATCCCATTCTCAGTTATTTAAGGGACTATCACCAGTTGGCTGAAACCTTATTTGCAAGAAATCAGTTTCAGGAGCAAAACGCGGACAAAGGAAGGGGCCACCTCCTAGGCTTTTGAGAGCAAAGGAGGTTGAAAGAGCATGTTTTGACCCATAGCATCTCAAAAGCTAAAATCTAATATACCCATTTCCTTGAAAGATTGTAGTACCCTCATTGCTGATCGATTTCAAGTTCTCGATAAAAGCATTTTAATCATGGATTCGTTTTTCCCTATTCCCACAAAGAACTACCCAAATTTAGACAAGTTACAAAGCCTTTGAAAAACTACGCTTAGAGACTTGATAGCGCTAAGATCTTTCAAAAAGTTCAACCTTTGTCAAGCATATATAAGGACAAGAGTGACAGAAACTCACTCTTCTCATCAGGCAAAAATACTAGCAGAGCAGAAACTAAGGAAGCGATCAATTATATGGAGCAGATTAGTATTCAATGAGCTGGAGATGGACGAGGAGTCACTGATGCGGATTAAAAGGAAACACCTCTGAAAGAAAGCCTGCCTTGCTGAAAAAGTCTGCCTCAAGAAAATACCTCTTGCTGATCCTGAAGTTAGCCTCAGTCATCTCAACTCTCATTACTCTTCTACTCTCAAATACCTTTCCACAGATATTTTCCTCTATTAGTTACAATCCTCTTTACAGACCAGTTACCCCATTTTTACATAAGTGGTAGAGATCTGCACAGGAAAATTCTAATCTCATTACTGACATTCACAATCATCAATACACTGCACTACCCACCATCTCCTCCTCAGTTTACCTTTTCTGAGATTTAAACGCATTACATGAAAAAAAAAATGACATGGCAGCGTAACATCAAGCACACCAGCATCAGGAAAGGCTAAATGTTCACTTCCTGCTTCGACAAATAAGTGAGTTATAACAATCTCCCCCATACCACCCTTGAACAAGCTGAACCTTCTCTGCAACGAATCGCAGAGGTAAGGGGCACCTGTAGATTCCTCGACTTGCTGCAGAGCATGTGGACTGCACACTTGAAGGCTGCCCCTGGAAAACTGCTTTAAATTCACCACCGTGAAAATTGCTTGGGGAGACTAGGCATTTCAGCTACTCTAGATTCAATATGTGGCCGTTAACCATATTATATTTGTAACTGGTTTTTGAAGATACATAATAGAAATATTAACAACCAAACACAACTCTCTCAAGTCCTCAGCACCTCACGCAGGACACCTAGAACATTTTGTTTAGAACAAAGCAGCGCAAAGAAGCGCACAGCACCGCGCGTTACACTCCGCACCGGCGGCCCCCAAAGCAGCCCGACGGCTCGGAGGCGCGGCCGAGGCAGCGCCGGGGAAGAACACGGTGGGGGGAGGGGGGAAGGGTGCCTGACCCCTCGCCCCCGCTCCCCACCCGTTAGGCCCCTCGGCCACTGCTGCCGCCGCTACCCCCGCGCCCTGCGCTGACGCAGCCCCCG